CACACTGGAGAGAAGCCATACAAGTGTGATATTTGCAAAAAATGTTTTAGGTCAAAACGTTATTATAAGCATCATATAGTGACCCATACTGGTGACAAACCATACAAAATATGATCTCAGTTACAAACTTAATGTCTGTAAATCATGTTATATTATGAGTTGAAGAACTCTTAGTTGAGAGAAACAGGTTTGCTCTTGCAGACCTGTTTCTCTTCAGGATTGCTTTTGTTTTCATAAACAAGAATGTAAAAGTCATAATGGTCCATACTGTAGAGAATGTAGAAAACTCTCTCTACTCTACTCTCTGTGTTCTATGGAAATGTTTCATAAGAAATTTGAACTTAAAAGTGTAATATTTGCAATAAATGTCTTATAACTAACTATGAAGTTAAATGTCATGCAATGGTCCACACAGGAGGGAAACCATTCAATTCTGATCACTGTAACAAACTTTTTGCTTTTAACTTGACACTTGTAAAAAGCATAATATGAAGATCTGGAGAGCAACTGTACATTTGCAGCATTTTTAATAAATGTTTTACTACAATATTTGAACTTAAGTATCTTATTGTGGCCCACACTGATCCAAGATCGAAATATGTCCAAATTGAGGAAATGTTTATTTAGAACGCAAATGATGTGCGTTGGTGGCATCAGAATGCGAAGCAGGATGGTGAAAGCTGACCCAATAATAATAAAATCAACGAAGATCGTTCATGGACTTTGCTAGAATAATTTTGCGTTTAAGTTTTTGCTTAGTTATCAATACTTTTTTGTATATTTTTAGAAGTTGGGAATACAGAAATTGTAAAACAATGTATTTTAGAACAGATGCAATAACACAACGCAAATGATACAGATCGACCACAGATTAGGTGAAGTTCTAATAAGTACGTTTCATTTTAAGCCTGATTGAACGTTTACCTGAAGTATTGGGTATTTTATAGGAGGTACACACATAAAGTTATAAAATACCTAATGATATAATCAATTAAATAGTACTGATATAAAGTCATTATTTTTGACTTTATATCAGTACTATTTAATTGAACACAAAGTGACATAAATGTTTGACATTATTTCAATGAGAGATAATTGAAAGTTAGCATTTGTTAGCATCCTCTAAGTAGCAAAGGAACGTTTTGACAAGATCACTAAGTAGTCTGTGGCCCCGTGCCATTGTTGATATTGAGAACAATGTGACCATTTCTGGCAGATTTCTGCCATTTGGGCAGATTTAATTTGTATTCATTTTCATCGCTACAGAACATGATAAGTTGTATTCAATGTGGCAGAGTTTGGCTGATTTGGGAATATTCAGCAAGTTCTTTATTATTTTCGAGAAAAAACCGAAACCTTGTTGTTTTCTGCTACTACGAACTAATATCTGAAGCGAAAGACAGTACAATGTTACAAACATAACCTATATCAACTTTATAACCCCAGCTTCTACAGTCTATACTCTATTAGCTTTTTGGATGCTTTGATAATGAATCATAAGTATTGATAGGTCTCCTTAATGCACGTCGTCAAGAACACTGGGTCACAAAATACACGGAATGTCGCCATCCCGTTTTTACTCTGTCATTATCAATGGTCGGAAAAAGGTGTTCCATATACATAGATACATGTATACATAGCTACAAGGAGTAATGTCGAGTTATTAAATCCCACCAAATTTTATTCATTACTTTTTCGTATTCCGATTTCCGGAAATGGTTTTACTACATTGTAGGACAAAACTACTTATCTAGGAAGTCAAAGTTGGATTTTAAAGTAATTGTAGAGATGTCATGTAAAAAAAATGTAGTAGAACCGACTTTTCATTACAGTAAATCTGCTTGGCGGAAGAATTAATAATAATAATAAAGCACACTCCCAACGAAGCCCCGCAAGGGGAGACCCTGTGTCGCGAGTGCCATGGACACACACACATAGACAATCACAAATTACACCTAAACTCCCGGCAGAAATAAATGTAGGCCATACAAATATTTCTCCCGGCCCGGGAATCGAACCTGGGACCTCTGCGTGGCATTCCGGCATGGTAACCGTTCGGCAACAGAGGCATTTGAGCTATGTTGAGTGTGTGCATTATTATCAGATAGATAGATAGATAAATGGTTTATTTATCACAAAACACACACATGCGATACACATAAACAAACAAAAATAAATAAAAAAACTAATACAAAAAAAACAATAGTATATAAAAGTAACACTACAATAAATACAATATAAGCGTAAAAACAAGATATCATTATTTTTAAATTTTAAAAAACAAAAGATCAAATAACAAAAAGTACAAACACAGAAATTTCACAAGGCCATCATTAAGTAAACCTCTTCCGATTAATAAGATTTTACCATATTTTATCAGTAGTAACATTTTCATTTGCCTTGCCGAATGGCAAGACAAATGAAAATGAATATGAATTTGATCAATTACCAACAGAAAACCATCTAGTAAAATTAATTAATTATTAATAATTAATTAAATATTCATTCATATATTGAGGTGCGTTTTCATTATTTAAATTAATCAATAAGATTTTCTATTGCAAAAAGATGTTATATACTAAGCTCATTTTACTGGAAGGACAATCATTTTAATATTTGAAGTCGATTAAAAAGTAAGATCTGATTTTTTTTTAAGTAAAATGAAGGACTAAACTATCTTATTCTAGTATTTTTCTAGTATCTATTACGACTACATGGAATCAACAAATACTTGAACAAAAATTATTATATTTAAAATCGATTGATTGAATGGAATACGCGTATTCCGTTCAATCAATCGATCGAAAAACACTTATAGACGCAATTGAGGGTGATGTCAGGAAATGCAAAGCTATTTTAAAGAAGTACTATTTTGGGTCGTAATGTAATTTTTCATTTTATTTGTATTTAGCTCTCTTAGTCGTAATATATTATTTGTATTTTAGTAAGTAGTAAGCTAATTTAAGTACCGAGCTTGTTAGCTCTTCGCTAGGTGGTTAAACCTTTTTTGTTTTTGCCTAGCGTTAATGTAATAAAATAGTTAATGTTCTTGAAATTGAATAAATTAAAAAAAAAAGAAAAAAAAGAATTAGAAATACGCGAAATCATGATCAATCACCAAAAACTTTACATTTTTTGACATTAACCGCGACGACATTAAACGCCGAAACCTCTTCTGATTAGTAAGATTTTAGGTATTTTGTCAGCAGTAACATTTTTAGTTGTCTTGCCATTCACCAATTTGATCAATCACCGACGGAAAACCATCCAGTAAATTTAATTAAGGCAGTTGCAAGTTCATATATTGACGTGTGTTTTCATTATTTAAGTCAATCGATAAGGGGCCTTACCATGAACTCTTATTACAGTTCAGTATAGGTTCGTAACGTCGAAAAAGCGGGATGGTGATATACACTTCATGTAGCGCGGTCTCACAACTATTCATTTTAGGTCATAAACTGAATCGTAATAAGAGTTCATGGTAAGACCCAATATCCTCTATTACAAAAAGACAGTTATTGAGCTTATATTATTTCAAGGATAATAATTTTAATATTGAAGTTGATAAAATTTAAGTTTAAATTATTAAGTAATCAAATTAAGAAAAAACTTTTAATAAAGGACATAACTATCTTGTTTTGGTATTTTTCTGCTATATTAATATTTCACGACTACTTGTAATCAACGAATACTTGAATCGATTAATTGAATGGATTACGTATATTCCATTTAATCAATCAATTTAGTGCGGAAGGAGGTTTCCCATCACTAAATAGTTCTTGTGACATCGTGGTGGATACTAGCTCGCATTCTAGAACTCTACTCAATGCTCAAGTCTGGGGTCTACTCTCGATATCCGTCCGAAACAATTACTGCCAAATAAGCAATACTTGACCAAATGAAAAGACGCGTGATGCGAATGAAGCTGCATACTGAACACTTGTCTTTTAATTTTGTCGAATATTACTTATTTGACAGTAATTGTTTCGGACGGATGTCGGACGGAGATCGAGAGTAGACCCCCAGAACTTGAGTATGATTTAAAGCACTAAAAATCATACTGAAGTCCTTGCCATTAGAGTCGTATTTCCAGTGCTTGAAATCATACTCAATTCCTGACTTGAGCATTGAGTAGAGTACTGGAATACGACCCATAAAGTGTGGCACGCTCGGTTTTCATACAAATTGCTGTACTTGCGGCGTCTATATATATATGTCTGTGATAAGATAACATCAAAAACATTACGCGCTTTTTTCTTTGGTCAGTAATGTAAAAATGAAAATGATCAATCAATGTTCGAAGAAAATCGAACTAAATCTGTTTCAAGGTAAGTTCAGCATCTACTGTTTTTTCTTCAATCTACTGGTTTTTTTTCGTGGTTAACTTCCGATTTTTTCAGATTTGACCTAGCAACACTCCAAGTAACAAGCCTAACGGCTGAAGTACTTTGTTTCCATGGCCAGCAATAAATTAAAAAAAAAAACAAGCCTATTAATTGTTAATGGCAAATTGTCAAAGCTCTATTACCATAACATATAAACATAAACAAAAATAATTTGGCTTCCTTCCTTTGAGTGCGAAATTATTATGCATTGAAGACAAAAAATAAAAGATATTATGAACGTTAAGGTGGAGACAAGCGAATTAGATAATAGCCCTATGGATTTATATAGGAATCTCCATATTAAACAAGAACCAATTAGTGCTGCGGAGGAAGAACAAAGAGAAGTGAAGGAGCCGGGTCTGTATGCAGGTCATGAAATCAAGGAAGAATTGGTTGTAGGACCTGTGGTGTTGCAGTCTCCTGTATTAGCTCAAGCAAAATTTGAGCAGAACACATCTGATGGGTTGAACATTGATACTCGACCGTACAAATGTGATATTTGCACTAAATGTTTTACAATTAAACACCATCTTATGCGTCATAAACTAACTCATTCCGGAGAAAAGCACAACCAATGTGAACAATGTAACAAAACTTTTACCTGTAAACTAAGTTACAATAAACATGTAAGGACTCATAGAGGACAGAAACAATACAAATGTGATATTTGCCATAAATGTTTTACAAAAAAACATATACTTAAAGCTCATATATTGATTCATACTGGAGAGAAACCATACAAATGTGATATTTGCACCAAATGTTTCACAAATAAACACCATCTCAAGCGTCACAAAATAACTCATACTAGAGAGATTAACCATTGTGAACAATGTAATGAATCCTATACCAGTAAAGCAAGTTATAAGAAACATTTAAGGACTCATGCAGGTGAGAAACCGTATAAGTGTAATATTTGCCATAAATGTTTTACAACAAAACAGGTACTTAATTATCATATAATGGTTCATACCGGTGAGAAACCTTATAAATGTGATATTTGCAATAAATGTTTCACAAAACAATATCATGTCAAGTGTCACATGATGACCCATACTGGTGAGAAACCATACAAATGTGATCACTGTGACAAATTTTTTGTCCGTAAATTGATTTATGAAACACATTTAAAAACTCATACTGGAGAGAAACCGTACAAGTGTGATATTTGCAATAAATGCTTTCCTATGGAACATCAACTTAAGCGTCACATAACAGTGCATACTGCAGAAAAACCATACAGATGTGACCACTGTAACAAAGTTTTTGCTTCTAAACACCATTTTAATGCACATTTAATGATTCATACAGGAATAAAACCATACAAATGTGACCACTGCAACAAATCCTTTGTTCGTAAAGCACATTGTGAAACACATTTAACAACTCATACAGGTGAGAAACCTTACAAGTGTGATATTTGCAATAAATGTTTTACAAGGAAACAGGCACTTAAGACTCATACGATGGTCCATAATGGTGAGAAACCACTAATATGATAACTACAGAAAAGGTTTTGCTTCTAAATACATTTTTAACGTACAATTACAGATTCATTTGGAAAAGAAATCATACAAATGTGACTGAAATTGTAACAAATATTTCAGGAGTCATACTATAGAGAAAGTGTACAGTTGTGATATTTTCCATAAAGGTTTTACTACTAAACATACGATTCAGTCCATACTGATGAGTACCATACAAATGTACTTGTATTGACTATATTACGATGTCTGAGGAGATAGTTGAGTACATCAGACTAAAGTCAAATATGCTTTGAAGGTCAAGCGGTTGGAATCCCACGTGATTTTTAATTCATTTGCTGTGAGAGTGCCAACCGCACATCTGTCAATCTACATGAAGGAGATTCCTTCGTCATTGGCTGAAGGGTGTTGTATATCGGCAATTCCGATGCAGGTTACCTGACTCCAGCTTGCACCACATGTCGCCATTAAGTGCATTTCCTATATAATTAATATATAAATACATAAGTCTTTTTTCAGTAATGTATTTTTATATTATACTTATATGTATATATGTTAGTCCTTAATATGTATATTATATGGGTAATAGTTGCCTGATTGAATAAAAATAATAAAAATTAATAAATGAATGTTTTTGCTTTAAAAGAAAGTTGTAAAAAGTTTTAAAGATTTATACAAGAAAGACAATGTACCAGTGTATTATGGATAATGTGACCATTACTTTCTCCCCCAGAGCGGGATGCCTATACATTTATTATAGTTTCAAAAAAATAACTAAAAATGTTCAATGATCAAAAATTTAAAAACAAATCAGGTGTAGTTCGCGCCTTTTTTTTTAATTTACTGTCACGTAGGTATGTCCCGTTTTCTCAAAGCGGGACATTTTAAGTATTTTGGGCACAGCGGGACACGAAGCATAAAAGCGGGACTGTCCCGTTCAATGCGAGACGTACGGTCACGTTAGATATGGGCCATTTTAAAAAAAAAAACAACTTATGTAAGTATAGAAATGTGACCTTTGTAAACAAAGTTTGTACAGTGGCCCATACATGTGATAAACCATACAAGTGTGACTGCTGTCTTTTGCAATAACTGGGGATTCAAATGGACGGAGTTAATTCACATTTAATATATCACGCAGTAGAGAAACTACAATTGCATTGTATGCGTGCATTATATGTATTCCATGGAAACAGCAACTGCCTCCGTCTATTTGAATCCCCTAGGGGATTTTTGTGGATTTTTAGTCTTATTGAGGCTTCCACATGCCAGTTTTCAGCCGAACTAGAGCTTTCTTCAAAGAAGTATTTTTCGGCTGTCATTTTTAAAAAAAACGCTGTAATGGCAGCCATATAAAAAAATAGCGAAAAAACTTGACTCGACTCTGTGTCTGACAGAATAATCGCGAGTCGGGACTAGCGAGAGTGATAGATATATGTCTGTGGATGCGGCGTATATTCATCCGTATGAGTTCGAACCGACAGCGATTCACCGAGTTAGGCAAGATCGGCTAAGATGCCTCTAGCGTCTGGTGGAGTGCCCACCCATTTACCACGAGACTTCTGTATGACGTCCTAATAAGAGCGTTCTACCGAACCTTTTTGCTACTACCGGGCAATGTAGGAGCCTTGAAAAAGCAAGAGAACGCGCAATCAATCCACCCCTTAATTTAAGAAGACAATAATCTAAGTGATAGGTTCTTCTTTCGTAGTTTACAAATAAAGCACCACCCTCTGTCCAACATCTGCTGGGGAAGTGGGCTCTTCCAGTTATTGGAAACATAAAGTGGAATCTTGCTTTATGAAAAGCTTTAAGAAGTTTAAGACCATTAAACATTATTGTTCATTTTGAAAAAAAAATATTTTTATTATTAAATTTTACCAACTTCTGCTGTCCCGATATTTTTCTTCAAGTACAATGAAATCATACTTAAAAGAAACAGTCTACTAACATTAAAAAAATACTAGTCAATTTTATTATTTTTGTATGAAAATTATTTTATGAAATTTGACCAACTTCGGCTGTCCCGATTTTTTTTGTCCTATACAATGAAATGATCCCTTCGTGAAACGGAGTCGATTAGCACTAAAAAAATGTATTTATTTTTATGGACAATTTTTTTTTCAGTGGACCCCATACTGTCCCATTGAAAAAAAAAAAACACTATATTATTACTCTGTACACCATACTTGGCTAAAGTAATAATATCAAGCTATATACATATAATACAAATATGTAAGCCGACGTATACCTTCCTGTATACTAAATCTATGTATACCTTAGTAGCTACTAACCTAGCATATCTTTTTCATTCAAATTCCGTACCTTTTCCATATTCTGTAATTTTGCATTCCCAGCAACCCTTTCTTGACTAAATGCGAAGGCAAAGCCATTATTATTTAAAAAAAAACAGGTTTTCTGACAAGTTGACATTAATACAGTTGTTGAAAAATCAATCGGATTTGTCGAGATGTTGTGATATGGAAAAGCTAATTATTAATTATTGACAAACAGCCTTTTTTGCCATGTGTATGTACTGAGTTCACATCAATCGATGGCAGTCATGAGCATAATTAAGTGTAAGTAGTCTGTGGAGTAATACACAAAGATATAGTGAGTAATATTATTCTATGATCGATTCTATGTGTGGTTTTTTTCCAACCAACACAATACATAACAGTTGGTTTTATTTAATGCAAAATATTATATCATGAAAACAAATTAGAATTATATAATGAACATTATGGAGGAGGCAAGCAAATTAGAAAACATGCCTATGGATGTACACAGAAATATCCACATTAAACAAGAGCCAGTTGATGTTGCGGAAGAAGAACAAAGGGAAGTGGAGGAGCCGAATCTTTATCCAGATCATGAAATCAAGGAAGAATTGGTCGTAGGACCTGTGGTGTTGCAATCCTCTGAATTAGCTCAAGCAAGATGTGTGCACAACACATCTGATGGGTTGAACTTTGACACTCAACCATACAAATGTGATATTTGCACTAAATGTTATACAAGGAAATGTCATTGTGAGCATCACAAAGTAAGTCACATTGGAGAGAAGCTGAACCAATGTGAACAATGTAACAAATCTTATTCCTGTAAAGCAAGTTATAATAAACATTTAAGGACTCACACAGGAAAGAAACCATATGAATGTGATATTTGCCATAAATGTTTTACTAAAAAACATGTACTTAAGTGTCATAAAATGATCCATTCTGGTGAGAAACCATACAAATGTGATATTTGCAATAAATGTTATACAGGGAAATGCCATCTTGAGCGTCACAAAATAAGTCATAATATTGGAGTAAAGCCGAACAAATGTGAACAATGTAACAAATATTTTTCCTGTAAAGCAAGTTATAATAAACATTTAAGGACTCACACACGAAAGGAACCATATGAATGTGATATTTGCCATAAATGTTTTAATAAAAAACAGGTACTTAAGTGTCATTTAATGATCCATACTGGTGAGAAACCATACAAATGTGATATTTGCAATAAATGTTTTACAAAAAAATATCACGCCACGCGTCATATGTTGGTCCATACTGGAGAGAAACCATACAAATGTGATCACTGTAACAAATTTTTTGTCCGTAAAGCAGACTGTGAAACACATATAAAGACTCATACTGTAGAGAAACCATACAAGTGTGATATTTGCAATAAATGTTTTGCAATGCAACATCAACTGAAGCGTCATATAACTGTCCATACTAAAGCGAAACCATACAGATGTGACCTGTGTAATAAAGTTTTTGCTTCTAAATACAATTTTAATTCACATTTGATGATTCATACAGGTAGGAAACCGTACAAATGTGACCACTGTAACAAAGATTTTACCCGTAAATCTACTTGTGAAACACATTTAAGGACTCATACTGGAGAGAAACCATACAAGTGTGATATTTGCCATATATGTTTTATAAGAAAACCTGAACTTAACATTCATATAATGGCCCATACTGGAGAGCGACCATATAAATGTGATCACTGTAACAAAACTTTTGTTCGTAAAGCAGATTGTGAAACACACATAAAGACTCATACTGGAGAGAAACCATACATATGCGATATTTGTAATAAATGTTTTACAACAAAATATCAAATTAAGTGTCATATAATGGTCCATACTGGAGAGAAACCATACAAATGTGACCACTGTAACAAAGTTTTTGCTTCTAAACACCATTGTAATGCACATTTCATGATTCATACAGGAATAAAACCATACAAATGTGAGCAATGCAACAGATCTTTTGTTCGGAAAGCACATTGTGAAACACATTTAAAGACTCATGCAGGTGAGAAACCACATACGTGTGATATTTGCAAGAAATGTTTTACTACAAAAAGCCAACTTAAACGTCATGTAATGATCCATACTTGTGAGAAACCATAGAAACATGACCGCTGTAAAAAAGTTTTTGCTTTGAAATACAACCAATGTAAAGATAAATACATTTTTTATACACATTTAAAGAGCCTACTGGAGATAAGTAACCCGTACAGTTGTGATATTTGCTACAAATGTTTTACAAAAAACATGTATTTAAAATCATTTACCGGTCCATTCTGATGAGAAACCATAGAAATTTTATCTCTGCAACAAGCAGTAAAGCAAGTGTCATATGAAGGTGTGTGCTGATGCGAAAATGGTCAATTGTAGAAATGTTTCTCTAAATCGCAAATGTGCATAGCTGGCCCCAGAATGCAAATTTACTCTATCACAATGCATATTAGCCTTAAGTAATTCCATAGTTTGTATGCTGTAGCTAAGCCATAATAAGAGAGCTTATCAAGCTTATCACTTTGCGACATTTATGACCAGCACAAACTAACAGACAGCAAAGCAGAGAACATTAAATATATCAATTTTACGTTATTATAATTGCAATAAAGTGAATGAAATATGATAAAATACAATCTAAGCTAACATGCTATGACGTAACACTTTTATTGCTATTATTGTTTAATTTAGATTTTTGATACCAATCCATTTCTTGATTGATTGATTAAGTATAAATATGATAACTATACAATGTGTTGATTTGCATTCACGCCATATTCGTCATTCTATCATCTAATCATTCTATAACCGAAACTCTAAACCCAAATCACTAAAAAATAATTCGAAAAAAAATTCGTAAATTCCTGTTTTTTTTATATTTGCGGTAAACAAATTTGATTCAAAGGTGACTTGCACGGCACTTGCTAACATTTCGAAAAATAAATCTCAAATATAGAGTGTATGATCTATGACAATAACCTTAAATGCGCAGAAAGAAACGAATTTTAGATCTATTTGGTGGTGGTGGGGTGTGGGTAGCGACGGCGGGGAAGTGTCGTATCGAGCGCGCGATTGGTAGATCAGTCGACCTTCCTTCCCGTACTGCGTCTACGTCGCGCTGACGGGATGTCATACATTCTATTCTAGTCTGTCACTAAATGTCACGTGGTTTGGTATGTAAATAAGAGTTAGAGTAGTGCAAAAATTAACCGCTACGAGGTTCACGAAAACCTGCATAGTAATCCATCAAGTACAAGTGCGTGTTTATTCTTATGGCATGATGTGAAACGCTTAGTTTACGCGGAGGATAAGAGTGACGAAATTTCTGCTTTCAAATTTGTGGAGTCTAATGTTGAAACGAAACTCACGTGCGAATCTCGGCATAACTGGTGGTGGCTCCAGCACGGAGTCAGCCACCAGCTGCGGAGCTAGGCACTTCTAGCAATAGTTTGATCCTAATGATTATCCTAAAGTTGATAAGTACCAAATCTGAGTTACAAAAAACTTTTCAGTCAACTTTTCTAATTAATGTAAATAAATAGTAAATTATAATAATACTAGTACATAATAATAATTTAAAAAATAGGTAAATAAGCGATCGAGAAAGATTACGTATCGCTCGGTGAAGCGGGTGGCGGGGTCACTGCCCTTGCGTGGTGCATATGACTGTGTGGCAGAGAGTATGGTAATCGTTCAGCCACAGTTACATCTGTAGGATATTATACAGAGTGTTTTTCTATATGGGACAGTATGGCGAAATCCGAAACCATAGAAGATACAAGGAAACTGTCTTAGGAACCATTAAGTTTTTTTGTGAAAACAATTTTGGCATAGTCCATTACTTGGTCAAGCGTGAGTTGTCCATAGAAATGAATAAAATTGATAATATTTTTAGTGCTAAAAGACTAGTTTCGTGAAGGGATTTCATTGTATGGGACGAAAAAATCAGGACTGCAGATAGGTAAAATTTATTTTCGTATGTATAATGTAATAATAATCATTTATTTCGGAACCAAGTCCATAGATTGTTAGTAAGATTACAAACTGCTTAAGCCTAAGGGTTAGTTACACAATACATACACAGCAACATAAAATAAATAAAAACTAACAATACTATGCGACGGCGGCGGTATGTAGTCGCATCCAATGAGCGAACATCGGCGAGTCCCAGCGAGCGGACAACGCGCTCAGGTGGCGCATCTCTTGCCATCATGCGATGGCTGCAAACCCGTCTGTGTGCGCCTCCGCGAACATACAGACGGGTGACTGAGGCGCTGCAGTAGCGCGGCAGTCCCAGCAACATCCGGATCGTGTTGTTGTATTGTACGCGCAGGTCGTTGTATGTCCTTCGCGTATAGTCGACTCACAGACTGCACGTGTAAAAAGATTAACAATAAGCTTTATAAAATACAAAATTGACTAATTTTTTTTCCTAATACACTCAAGTTTCTTATAATGATGATTTCATTGTATTGGAAGAAAAATCGAGACAGCAGAAGTAGGTAAAATTTAAAAAAAGTTTTAACAAAATGAGTAACATTTTGTTAAATTTGACTAATTTCTGTTGTTTTTTTTGCCGAT